ATTGGTTGTTAACGTCAAAGTACATAAGGAACGATCTGGGCTTACTGGGATCGTAATTATTAATATGCTGATTGTTTGCATGGGCTCGCCTTTTGGAGCAGACTTGACTAAGACCTCCTCGAATGCCTCGCTCAACAAACAAAAACATATCAACATCAGTCAACAGTTCCAGTTCTTTACCTGTATGCTTCATCATAGCATCCCACGTAAAGCCGGGGAGGGTGTAGTAGTGGGCAGGGTCAAGACCGTATGTTTTATGGCAGCTAGAACGGAACCGTTCAAAGACGTCGGCAAGAAGCATGATATCAGTCTTCATGTATAAGTCAACGTATTGCCCAAGATCTTTGCATCCAAACTTATTCCATACATGCTTTGCTCGAAGGTAAAGCCTACGAGGACACGGCCTATCCTCTAACTTGTTGAAGAATTTATCAATATGCGGCAAAGAAGTTTCCCCAAATCGATCGAATGAATCGATGTAATCATAAGGCATTATTCCTTTCTTGGTTAATAAATTAAACTGGTCTTCTGGCAACTCTTGGAACTGAGATTTTAAATTTGGATGTTCAGGTAAATATGAAGCAAGCTTATCCAAAGAAGAGGCCATAAATCGGAAACTATCGATAAAACGGAATTGAATAGGATACTCATCAATATGTTTGGTGAAGGAAATATACTTTTCCTTGGTGATAGGCAGCAAATCGATAGTTCCTTTCATTCGTGTGGCTATATCTGTGATTACAAAGTGGGCATCATATCCTGATAAATTGTGAAAGACAATCGGCACAATGTGAGTGTCTTTGTAATTTATATTACACCCTTCATGGGCGGGACCTCTATAGTTGTTTTCGGGGATTAAATGAAAATGATCGCGCACTTTCTTATCTTCAGTTGTGAATGGTTCCTCGCATATATGACAATGAGTGGCTTTTCGAAACTCATCTTCCTGAGAAGGTGTCATTTGAATATCATAAGGACACCAAAAGACCGTTGCCATATCTTCTGCTAGCTGTGCCATCTCATCAGCAAACCACTGCATACAGTCAACACCTCGATAAGCTCGATAGAACGACAAGGAGTCATCATAGCTGCACTTTAAATAGTATCCAACAGCAGCTGGAACGTGTTCCTGCGGTTTCTTAAGATCGTTGGTGGGTCTTAGGACGCTTTCCAGATCGGCATACACACTGAATGGGACCTTTTCTTTATTCTTATAGTTCTTGAACCTGAGGATGTTTTTCCCAGGTTCAGGCATCTTGATCGCAGTCTCATTAAACTTTTTGCAGTCCTCAAGATGTTTATCGAGCTTTTCTTGCGATCGAAAGTAGTGGAGGCATCGATCACAAAAGAACTTCCGGCCATCTTCTTTGCTAAGCTGTTTCGATAGTAGTCTGGAGAGGCTTTTTATCCACACATAATGGTATGTTGTAGGAGCATCATCATAACGATCTTGAACCAGGAGCAAGTTCACATGTCGATCTTTTTTATCCTTTGTAAGGTAAGTTGGTAATGTGGCAAACGACTTTTTTTCTTTTTGCAAGATATAGACATTAATTGAAATGCTGTTCTGCTTCTCGAAATTTGGAATTTGTTTCATGGTCATAGGAAATTGAATTCCTTTGAGCTTAAGGACTGTGGAGTAATGTGGGTATGAAGAAACTCTATCAGAATTTTTATGTATAGGATATAAAGCAGATGTAATGGCCCAAGCAAAACATGCCTGATCATCGTTCTTAACGTTCACGCATGCTTTTTTATTTGTAATTTGAGGAGGCAGCTCGACATAGGAGGATCCAAGTTGGGGTGTAAACTTGTTAATGTTCACACCTAAATTGATCACCTTCTTTAAAGCCCAGCCACTGTCACGTTCTTGAAACTCCTCAAGCTCATTTAATATGGGAGCAATAACTTTCTCATCAAACCACGTATCCAAATCCGTGTCCCTGTAGATTGGTGAATTTGGGGTAGTGAAGTACTTGTGCTCTACCTGCACACGATCTCCCTTCACTATCTCAAACTCTCCTCCGAACGTTATGTTAACTTTGACAGCAGCATCTTTTTTTAAAGTTGCCTGTATCCTACGTTTAAAAAGGGACTTAGCATCAATCAGGAAAGCTTTTGGATCCTTATGGTTTAGATTACTGATTACACCCGTCAGGATGCGGCTAGCGAACGCCGACTCTGAGTCATTCCAGCGAACATGATCCCTTGCAGTTTCATTTCTAGATTTAAGCCCGGACCCCTTTTTTACCATAGCTTTTACCTGGTTGTGATAAGTCTTTATATTTCTTAAGCATGCCTCCAGATGCTGCTTCTCACCCATCGTTTTGGCATTTTTCAATGCATAATTTAATTTTTTCATGCCCTTCTGGCATTCCCGAAGCCCCTCCCGGGCTACCACTTCATCATAACTCGTAGATAGCAGGCCGAGAAAACCAGCAATGTGTCGGACTAGATCGGCGAAGAGTGACATCGTTCTGCAATAAAAAAACTTATTAAATTTATATAGATTATATGATTGTAGGAATTAATCAGGTGGTAGTTATTGGAATTACGCACCCTCAAACTTAGGAAAGAGTAGATATTAATGCGTTCACTCAAGAAATCAGTACTAAAAAGGTATATAACTGCATTTGAATTTGAATACCAGCACTTCGGAAATGGTCACAATACATGTCCAAGTGGTTATGTATGTAGTACGCGGTGATCGGTGCCTCCATCTACAAACGTGCGACGAAACCCGCATAGACTGGATTCGGTCTGCGATGTATGTTGTGTTGTCGGGGGATTGTAGCAAATAAAATAAATTTATGATTCTTAAAGTCGGCTGATCAGATAAGCTGAGTCACAAGAAGATTAGAAACCAAATGAGTGTGATCAGATATTGTAAACTCCTACTTGGACAAAAAACTAAATGGGGGTTTTTTTGCAAATTGAAATACCCTTCAAAGTAGTTTGTGCGTTTTCGTCATAAGAAAACACATAAAAGTTGTGCCTATTTAGACGCTAGGATGGGTACTTTTTAATAATATTTCCCCTTTTGTTTAAAGTTTAAGCTAAAAGGCTTCTAAAATCATAGAAAACAACAGTAATGTCTTTTAGCAACAATAATCAATTTTAATACTTATTATTGTGGAAATATGAAATTATTTAACTCAAAATTTATCAAAAATTACTAACGCAAAATTTTCAAAAATGATTAAAACTAAAATTTAGTTAACACCTTAATAGCTTATTCAATAGAAATTGGAGAATGTATACTTTACATGTAAAAGTGATCAATATTACAAATGTTGTAGGTAGGATGCTCTCCAATGTTTTAACAAGAAAATGTATATTTTAAAAGTTGTAGATGCTGGATACGTTCTAATACTTTAACAATCTGAAACAGAATGACAAAAGTTAATAGGTATAAGGTACCATTCCTGACAATCAAATCCCCAGAATACAGGGACTTTACTACGATTACAATACTACTGACTGAACAAAATACAGACGTTCACTAGACTCAAACGTCATTATTACCATGAACATAACGGACATACACTAGAAAATGAATTTGACAAATTTCAAAACGCCATAACAAAAGCTATGGACATATCAACGAAAAAAATCTAAACGTAAACAACAACACGAAGACCTGCCACAAGACATACCATATTTAATAAATACTAAAAATTACATACACCCATACTGAAACTAAGACAAAACGATACAACATCCATTACTGATGAACAGAAAGGGGAGTACCCTTGGTGAGTATTTTCAGAAAAATTTCATAAACACGCAATTAAATAATAAACAACAGAACGAAATCGAAAAATATCTGTAGACAAATTCAAAGTATGCCTACACAAGACACCCCCGACAAAATGTTAAGTTTCCCGCGGGAAGTGCTAGATATAATAAAAAGATCCCCCCAGTAAGAGAGCACCTGGCCCAGACGGCATTCATAACAAACTCATTAGGAACATATCCTGAGAAATTAAAAAACGCGAATATTATTCCCATATTAAAAGCAGGCAAAAATAAGAATGAAATTGAAAGCTACCTCCCCCATATCCCTCCTAAATGGCATACCCAAAATATTGGATATAATCCTCCTAAACAGACTAAAACCGGACACAGCACCATAACGCAAATCGGTAGAATTGCACATCATGCTAACAAAGCGTTCAATGAGCAGAAACAAACAGTGCTTGTTGAGCTTGATGTGGCGAAGGCTTTTGACACAGTCTGAACCGAAGGGCTGATTTACAAGATGTTTTGTGAATGACTACCCTGTTTCCATTATAAAAAACAATTCAAACGTACTTACAAAACAGAACATTCAACGTTAAAATCAACAATACAACAAAAGGACCTTACAGAGCACAGGCAGGAGTACCCCAAGGTTTGGTACTCGCGCCGCATCTGTATTCCTTCATGACCCATGACATATCAATGGGGCAGGATGGCATACAGACAGCTCTGTACGCGGATGACACTTGTATCTTTAAAACTTCAAAATCAGCCAACATAGCGCGCAGAAGGCTGGACATTCATATAAACCGAACGGTAGTCCCCTATCTGGAAAGCAATAAAATTAAAATAAATGCTGAAAAACTAAAAGCTTAATACTATCCAAAAGAACCACTGAAAGAATTATGTCAAACATCAAAGTTCAAGGGCAGCAAATTGAAATGGTACTGCGGTGTCTAGTGATTTGGTTTTCTCACGTACGTAAACTAAGACTAGACACACTTACTATCGACTCTAGTCATTGAACCAAAACTGTCCTATAATGTTTCTAGCAAGGAATGGACGCCTTGAAAATCATAATTTTAATTATTAGAAGGGCACAAACACGGCCAAGACATCGGTCATGATCATTATATGGCCTCTAGTAGAACATTTCCATACTACAGGCAGGAAGAAATCAATTGATATATTGTTTTATTCTAAATACTAAAATTGAATTTTAAATATAAAAATAAAGACTTTTGAAATGAATAAATATCCATAAGAAACCATGTAAAAATGGTGCATTTTAACTCTAATCACCCATTTTGATACTTTTTAAGTGAATTTAATATTAGACAGAAAATGTTGTCACGTGGGCGTTTGTCATTATGAGCGTTAATTGTTTTAGACAGAAGGTAATGTTGAAGAAGTGTCACGTGGGTGTGTGTCATTAAAGCTTTAACGCTTAAAATTTAATCATTCTTTATCTAGCACTCATACAGAGCTGTCGCATAAGAATGACTAACCTTATGCGTGAGTATATTAGACTTAACCTTATTAAAAGATGTATCGAGCAAGAATTTATTCAAGCCAACTATTGTGGAGTATGCTTAGCTGGAAGTTTGATATTTTACGAAGTGGCTAAGAAATATGATATAACAACAAAAGTACAAGTGGGCACTAAACTTTACTCAAATGGTACTAAAATAACACCCCATTTTTGGATTGAACATAATGATATAATATGTGATCCTACAGTAGCCATTACTCAACATTATCTACCGCACAATCTTAACGTTACTTATACACGAGAATATAAGTTAAAGAATGCTGAAGACATAAAAATTATTGAAGTTTATCAGGCATTTGAGAAGAATAAATCCGCAACCGCTTATTTTAGTGAAGCCCCCAAACATCTATTAGAAGTTCGTAAAAATATTTATCAAAATGTAGAAAAAATATTTAATAAATAAAATTTTAATGCATCTATTTGTTTTTTTATCGCATAATCTTGGTATTATTCCTCAAATAAATATAAGACAAAAGACTACCGAAGATCCCCATCATATTTAACCACCAGAAACATCTGTAGCCAGCTGAAGTCTTCTGAAGTCGCTATCTGAAGTCAGCTGAAGTCACCTGAAGACTCCTCTAAAGACATCTGAAGACCATAGAAACACTATTTATAGGGGTGTCACATCAAAATGCTTCAGTTATAATAGGGCAATGGATACGTCACGTAAACGAAAAATTGTAGAACTTAGACGTATCATTCGAAAAAAGTATAACACCTTAAAGAAAATGGAAGATGATAAAATTGAACGAATAGAAAATATACGAAGTCCTATTACAGAACCTTTGAAAGAAATAGCTGAAGCAAACGAAAACAACGAATATCTAGATAAATACAATGAAAAATGTATCGATTATGATAACTGCTATGGACCTGTTTATATAGATAATAAATGGCTAATGGGTACTAAGGAACTAGAATTTACTAAACATAATATAGTTCTAGGTGATACCAAGTTTAATGCTACTCCTGGTTTATATGAATTATTATTTTCTAAGAAACCAACAAATTTTACTCCTAAGGACCATCAACTCTACAAACAAATTTTGGATATAACTAGCGCTCACCTTGATTCAAGAGGACATCTGAGGCATCAAGCTGACAAATTAAAATTTAGCACAATCATTAGACCTCTATTTAAAAATAAGACAAAATCTAAAAGTTTTAAAAATGCTGTTGAACGAAGACGAAACATGCGAGATGATAGGCAAAACATTAAGCAAATACCGGGGAATACTAGACGTGTAAAACCCATAGAAAGATTGTATGAAGAAGACAATAAATATATTTACCGGGACGATCCTAACGAACTTTGCGATCGATTGAAGCTATTCGTGGCGTCGAAGAATGCAGGAAATACTTCGGTAAACAACGAAATCGCTAGAATAATCGACAAACTTCGAGAAGCAGATATCATATATTAGACTACGTTACATATTATAATCATTTTCATCATGAGTCTCGATAAGTTTGGACGTAGACGACAAAGTAATGGTGCTCCAACGATTAATATAACGCAGTTGGAAAGCAGATTCAAAAATGTTTTTGATATAAAAAATTCTACGCTAAATTCAAATATCAGCAAGTTAAATGATATTGTGAACGTTATCAACAGTAAAACAAAGGACCTTGAAACATTTACATCGAGAAATCCACCTACAGCAGGTAAACATATGGCAACCAAAAAATACGTAGATGATGCGATTAAAACAAACAAAGGATTCCTTCGTAGTGATATAGCAAAACTTAAAACTGACACAGACAACGAATATAATACCAAAATACAATCACTTAATACAGTTTTGGAAGAGATTGAAAAAACGTTGACGCCTCTACGTTCTGACATAAATCAAATCCAAACTCAATTACAACACCTGTATAATGAAGATCTAAAAAAATTACGTGATGAGCTTTTGATTAAAATTACTGATATTACAAATTTAATGTCAAAAAATATTGAGCAGCTTAACAATCAAATTAATATAGTTCCAAATGACGTAATTGATGATGTAAAAAAAGAGGTGGGATTATTACAAAAAAATCTATATGGCATTAATCAAATTACAAAAACCAATGAAAATGAACTAAAAGTATTGCAAAACACTTTACAAAGCACCAATCAAATAACGAAAACCAATGAAAAGGACTTATTATTACTACGTGAAACTGCAAATGTTCAATTTTCAGAAATTGACTTGAATATCAACGATTTACAATCACGAATTTCAAAACTAACTGCAACACCTTAATTTACATCAGTTATCATGTCAAGGGAAAAGATTCGAAGCGAGTTGCTTCGACCTGCACGTAAAAACTATTCTAGACGTCGTACAATTATTAAGGATTTGGATGATTTATGGCAAATGGATTTGACTGAAATACACCCTTATGCACATTAAAATGAAATGATCTGTAATTATTATTAATATTAAAATTAATTGAGTATACTCGTTTGTTTTAATACATTCTCACTAATAATGTTTTAAAGTATATTTCACCTATAACCCCCGTATATGTAAAATTTTTAAAAGTAAATTTCTTAACTTTTCGATTACTTTATGGACCTTAATTTTCGTTCCAATTAATTTTTTATCAAGAGGAGTAAGGAAGGTAAACACTTACTTATAAAGTACAGATGTTGCTGTTGCTAGTGCTACTGCTACTGCTTCTACTGCTGCTACTGCTACTGTTGACTGCTGCTACTGCTGGTGCTGCTGTTACTACTGCTACTGCTGCTACTGCTGGTGCTGCTGTTACTGCGGCCTGCTGCTACTGCTAGTGCTGCTGTTGCTACTGGTATTGTTAAAAAGAATTCATTAAAAATTTATGTAGTGTCACTTTTATTTATTAAAAAGACAAACTAAATATCATGGTAGAAACAAAAACTATTTTAATGAAAAAGAAATAGAAGTATCAGAACCGCAAGTTCTTGAAAATTATCAATAAATATCCTTAACATCAATTTAAAATCCTTAAAATTATTTAAATTTCTTTAGCGCTATATAAATTTCATCAAAATTTACGCTACTGTTTAAAATCTAATGAAGTCTCTGTCTCTGATTCCCCTTTAAATTCCCCAAAATTTCTTATTTGCCCTATAACTCTCGTATATCTATAATTTTGTAAAGTACATTTTCTAACTTTTTGATTACTTTATGGACCTTAATTTTCGTTCTATTGTATTTTTTTTATCATCAATATCTGAAGACAAGTACTGAAGATCGCGGTCACATGTCAATAGTTACTGAAGGTGAAAACTTACTTATAATTTCCTCCTGAACTCTAGTACAGGGTGCTGCTGGGTTCTGCTGTTGGTGGTACTGCTGCTGCTGTTGACTGCTGCTATTGGTATTGCTGTTGGTACTGCTGTTGGTGCTGGCGATACTGGTGTTTAGAAAAATATTTAATGAAAAATATGTTTTATTATTTTATTATAAGAGTGTGGTTTTAAAACTTATAAGAGTGTGTTTTAAACTTAATTTTTTAAAAATTGACACAGTTAGTTACTAAAAGAATAAGTTTCCTCTACTACTTTTTCTGCTTTTATCTCGTATCTCTTCTGCTTTTGTCAACTACGCTGCTTTTTCTGGTTTTGTTCTATAAAAAAAATCTGATGTGTCCAACACATGACTTTCCTATCTAGTTATTACAGGCTTTTTTCGGTTATTTTGTACAGCCTATTGTAGCACCTCTATAAATGTTTAGAGGATAAACTATAATATATACATTTTCCACATACATCTACCTCGAAACATTTTTCTATAGATATTCATTGAAAACGAAAATAATGAAAAATTTAAATTTAGCACTTTTCCTCCAATTTTTCCATTACGGTCCATTTTAGAAAAATCATGTATAAACAAAAATTATAGAGATCGATATTTTGCACATTTTGTCAAATTTATCGAATACGGGCCATTTCAGAAAATTTTGACATAAAGCAAAAATTATAGATAATATTAGAAATAACTTTTATTTGAACAATTTTTTTCTCCAAACATAAATAACATATATTCAATAAAATATAAAAATGGCCTCCCATAAAGTACCCCTCCAGAAGTTCCGACTTTGTCCAAAATCTAATAATTTCACGTCAGGCCGAAATAAAACTTAAGTTTAAAATTTAATGTTTTTTTCTTTATCCGTTTTTGAGTTTTCTTCAAAATTCTAAATTTACACATTTTCTCAAATATCTCGAATACGGTCCATTTTAGATAAATTATGTATAAAATAAAAATTATAGAGAATTATATTACAAACAACTTTTATTTGAACAATTTTTATAAAAAAATATTTTTTTTTACATTTTGTCAAATTTCTCGAATACGGACCATTTTAGGAAAATTTTGTATAGAACAAAAATTATAGATAATTATATAAGAAGTAACTTTTATTTAAAGAATTTTCTTCTACAAACGTAAATAACAGATATATTCCATAAAATATAAAAATGACCACCTATAAAGTACCCCCCAGATGTTCCGACTTTGTCCAAAATCTAATCTGTTCATTAGACGCTGGAATAAAGGTTAAGTTTAAAATTTGGTGTTTTTCTGTTTATCGGTTCATGAGTTATCGTAGATACACACACGGACATCATCGCGAAAATAGTCAAAACGGATTCAGGGGACCTCAAAACGTAAAAATCCGTCGAAAACTCGAGGTCGAAAAAAATCATGATTTCTATACTTTCCTTATATCTGTATACATATAGGAAAGTAATAATAAAATATTAATAGTACATATAAAAATATGATTGACTAATATCTAAAAAAAAAATAGATTTGCCAAAAGTACATGTAGAGCCTTTTAAAAATATGATTGAATAATATCTAAAAAAATAGAATTGTCAAAAGTACAGGTAGTACCATTTAAAAATATGATTGAATAAATAGAAGGAGCATGCTCATCTATACATATAGAAGACAAGCACTACTCACCCTGAACAGACCACGAATTTATTCAGGGTTAGTACTAGCCAAGAAAGCAGCCAACCAAATACTTTTTGGACCTGGCCCTTCTATTGGCCCGACAAAATCGACAGCCCTAATCAGACCTTGTGAAATTCAAGATGGGATGAAACAAGAAACTGTAGGAGGACCATCGCGTATGTTCTTTATGATTGCTCTCATTTATTAGAAGATTTATATATTGACTAACACCGGCCGATATAAGAGAAGCGCCTCTTGGTGACGTTGTCAACTACATTAAATCTGGCTCACGAGCTAGGAGGTACCTATATATTTAGGAGGATGCACAATGGGACTAATGAGGCCTAAGTGCCGTGGGGTAACCCACCCTCTACACGTTACAGATACAGAGATCGAAACGAAAAGTAAAAATAGAATTGTCATAAGTACAGGTAGTACCTTTTAAAAATTTGATTAAATAATATCTAAAAAATACTACACGTAGTGCCTTTTAAAAATAATTTCTAAAAAATAGAATTGTCAAAAGTACAGGTAGTGCCTTTTAAAAATATTATCTAAAAAAAATAGATTTGCCAAAAGTACTGGTAGTAACATTTAAAAATATGATTGAATAATATCTAAAAAAAAAAATACTACTAAGTTTAATACTACACGTAGTGCCTTTTAAAAATAATTTCTAAAAAAATAGAATTGTCAAAAGTACAGGTAGTGCTTTTTAAAAATAATTTCTAAAAAATATATTTGCCTAAAGTACTGGTAGTGACTTTTAAAAATAATATCTAAAACAATAGAATTGTCAAAAGTACAGGTAGTGCCTTTTAAAAATTTGATTGAATAATATCTAAAAAAATACTACTAAGTATAATACTACAGGTAGTAACATTTAAAAATATGATTAAATAATATCTAAAAAATCGAATTGTCAAAAGTACAGGCAGTACCATTTAAAAATTTGATTAAATAATATCTAAAAAAATACTACTAAGTTTAATAGTACAGGTAGTAACATTTGAAAATGATATCTAAAAATAGAATTGTCAAAAGTACAGGTAGTGCCTTTTAAAAATAATATCTAAAAAATAGATTTGCCAAAAGTACTGGTAGTGACTTTTAAAAATAATATCTAAAAATAGATTTGTCAAAAGTACAGGTAGTGCCTTTTAAAAATAATTTCTAAAAAATATATTTGCCTAAAGTACTGGTAGTGACTTTTAAAAATAATATCTAAAAAAATAGAATTGTCAAAAGTACAGGTAGTGCCTTTTAAAAATTTGATTGAATAATTTCGAAACGAAAAGTAAAATAATTGTATAATGTATTTATAAAAACAAAGAGAGAGTAAGAAATCTAATATTAAGAAATTAAAAAAATATAGAAAAATCGTTTTTCTCAAAAAAAAAAATACTGCTTGTAAGCAAAAGTAAAAACAGCAAGAGTTCCGCATAATTTAAAAAAAAAGAAATTAAAATTAAAAAAAGAAATTCAGTAAACTCGTTTTCCTAATAATTGAAAATATAGAGAGTGAAATAAGGATAAATTTCTTACCTTATCTTAACACACAAAACT